CCCCAAAACCCCAAAACCCCAAAACCCCAAAACCCCAAATTTTATTATTTTAATTGAAAAAAGATGCTAAGAAACGATCCCTTAGTCACATTCGGGTCCATCAAAATCATAGATGGGCTGTTCATCACAGACGATATTGCTGCCGGAGACCTTGAGTTTATTTCAACTAACAAGGTGACACGCATCATCAACTGATGTTGCCTCCAGGTTCCCAACCATTGGTCTTCAATTGGCATAAAATACCTGTCCTACAACTGGAGAGAGAACGAGGTTGTCAAAATTAAGGAAGAGACCATGAACAGGATCTATGAATTCATTCAGCAAAGTCTCAAGAAGTCAGAGTGAGTCCTCATCCACTGTATCAACAATGAGAGTATTCTGTACCTAGTAGCAGGGCTATTCCTGATGCTCAAGTTTAAATGGTCCGTTAACAAAGCTATCCAATACATGTGCCTGAAGCAGCCTTGCTTCTACATAGTCCCTCAGTACTACAAAGCACTTCAGAAACTTGAGAATTTGATGAGAACAAAATACCAAGAAGATGTCTCTGACGTTTGGGACCTTCACAAGATCAGGAGTAAGGAAGAGATGGTGATCACTAACACCTACATTAATACTAGGATCGCTCCTGGGAATAACCTGGCTCAGCCTGCTGAAGAGGAGAAGGAAAGCTCTACTTTCAGAGAGCAGTTGCAAAATAATGTACCTCAGAACAACCGGAATCTTAACCAGAAATCTTCTACTTATAATAACGAGATTAAAGCCAGCAAGCCAACCTCTAGGATTAAGTTCAAGGAAGAGATAACGGTACGTTGAGTTGCTGGATAGGCTTTCCTCACTAGATTGGGTCTCAATAACCCATGGAGATTTAGCTAGTCATACTTTTGAATAGCCAATTCTCCATTTTCTTCATAAAATATGAATTTTAGACTGTCATCAAAACCCCTCTTGAAGAGCCAAATCTAGCAATCAGAGTGCAGAATCTGACGGATGTGAACTGCCATCGTGAGGAGGTTGCCCTAACCTCGATTCTGTGTAACAAAGATCGGGTTCTAAAGCCAATCCCAGTGATGCCCTCGCAGAAAATGTCCAGCAAAAGTAATTTTGATAATTCAAAATACAGACAAGAATAACTCCTTTGTTGGAAGCGTTGGAAGAGGTCTCAAGAAGATCAACGAATCCTTAGAACATGCCCCTTCAGCCAAATTCTACAAGAATGACTTGACTCCGAAAGGTAAGCTACCTCTCTGACTTTGATAGAGACCAAGCCTGGGAAGGCTCGGAAGCGAGTCAAAAGTGCTAGGCCTAAAGAAAAACCTAAGAAAAAGGAGTCTAATAAATATGAATTTATGCCTAATTTCCATCCACATGCTTACCTTCGTGAGGCCAAGCAGACCAAGAAGGGCAAGAAAAAGTCTGGTAATGAGAAAGGTGAGCGCAAGAAGCGTCCGCAGACCGCTGGCAACAAACTTAAGAACAACTACTTCCCGCAGACTAAGGGAAATATGTCTTTGAACCCTTCTTCTAATGAATTTCAAAATATTTTGAACAAGAGTGGGCTTTCAGATATAGACATGACTAAGAAATTATTGCTTAACAAAATCACCAATAACGAGATTGACCCTAACAAATACATGCGGTTTGTAGAGGCCAACAACAGGAAGAACGCCCCTGACGAGGAAGCCAAGGAGATTAAGTCCAGAAAGGGGAAAAAGGGTGGCCCTGTGGTTAATGTCAACTACAACTCCTACATCAGGATTGGGGCGTACCAACCTCCGGTGATCAACACTCTCATCGTGAATGGCAACAATTACATAAATCAAGCTAATAACTTAGCGGCTGACAGTACTCAGTATATTTTGATATTTTAGAAAAACTTGCAGATCCATCCATGATCCAAAAGCCTAAAATCCTTGCATCTTCAGGGTCAAGCAAAGGAAAAAGTAGCATTTAAACCTTTCTTAATGACATAGAGAAGGCAAGGCCATCTTCTGGGTCTCAGCCAGGTTCCAAGAAGCAATACAACTCGGTGAATAGTAGATCTGGGAAGTCCAAGGAGCCTACCTCTCAGAAGAAGATTCAGGATGGGTTCAACCTAGCTCCGTTTACTCTTACTCAGAAGAACAAGCTCACCACGTAAGTTGTGATTAGTTGATATTCTTAGACCGACAAATCAGAGAGATAAGCCAAAGAAATTAAAAAAATAAAAATAAATGACAAATTAGTTTCAATTCATACACCATAGTTTGGGGTTTTGGGGTTTTGGGGTTTTGGGGTTTTGGGG